GGGGGGCCGTTGGGAGCCGTGGGAGCCGTTGGCGGCGGGGAGCGACAAAGCCCCCGCACGTGTCTGTCGCGACATCCGCTTGCGCGGGCAGCGCTTATGTGTGTGTGCATGGGTACACATACACGCAGCATGCAGTGCTCTGTGTATATGCGCATACACGCACCTGTTCCTATGGAACATACCATGCATGTCTGCTTCATTTGTGTATATTTTATACATACCCACGTGTAAAGCATCTATTTGTTCCCTTTCCTGAGCTCCAGCAACCTTTTTCTCCCAGTTAAGGAAACCTCTGGACGCTATATATTGCACATCATAAACGACTACAAAATAGTAGCTCCTTTTTCCCTTTTTTATTTTTTTTCCGGAGGCTGATACTGGAATATCACTGCTACAGTAATTGCTACAGTAGATTGGGCTTTGACTTTCTGTCACAAGAGCCAAATCCATGGTCCAAAAAAAAAAAAAAAAAGAGAAAAGAGAGAAAAGAGAAAAAGAGAAAAGAGAGAGAAAGAGAGAAAAGAGGGAAAAATCTCACCTTGTAACTAATCTTTGCTACATATAGAAACCCAAATTACAGATTTGATCTGGAGAAGTTTTAATCTTAATTTCTTCTGGACTTGGTCTCCATACCAGAGAGTTCCCTAACACAGAACTGTGGAAATACTTGGATTCCTTTCAAGAATCCAATCGTTGACTTCAATTGTGGCCTGTGCAAAGCAGCACATTTTTGCATCCCAGTAGCCCTGCCGCCTAGCCTAGCCTGGCCCTGCCAGGGCACTGTTTGGAGCCTGTTTCGGTTTGTTTAACTTGGGAGGGAGAAGGGCTGTGCATTTTTGTCCACCAGCGGGATTACATTTTCACAGGTCCATCGAGAGAACATGCATCTGAATGCTCGTTTTCAACCAGCAATTGAGGTGCAGCAAGCAAGCAGAATCACAGCATCTTCCCTCTTTTTCAGGAAACCTAGAAAATCTCGAAAGGCTTTTGAAATGTACAGCACAAGAGACCCCTGTGACAAGTCCTGCATCTTCTTTCACTGCACATATTTAGCACTGCAAGGGGTACAAATTAAGTCTTGTGTGCTTTGTAAAGAAGGAAAAAGATCTGAAAAAAAAATCAGATAGTGATAGGGTGATATTTTTTGAAGAGGAGTGAAGGATACTACCCTGAAGTTTTTGAATGCTTGGGTCATTAGCTACTAGCTGACAGCAAATGCAAATCACTGTACTTTGCAGATGTGACAGTCCAAATACCCTTTATCTGGCAAGCTCACAGTTCTAAAAAGGGTGTCAGCAACATGGTAGATTATATAGCAGGTTTTTTTTTTTTTTTTTTTCCACACAGAAACTGCTGTAATAGAGATGCATAAATTGACTTATTTTGGACTAGTTGTATTCTGGTCTGCGCACACAACAACTACCAGTGGCCGGAGCACGCTGGGTATGTTCCTGATACCTGACTCAGTTTCATCTGCAAATAATCCAGCTACTGCTCCAAGATGCAAAGAAAGGCAGTTACTGGGGACAATGGGAGAGTCGCTTCAAAAGTGCACTTCTGATCTGGGCAAAAATGGTACAGTAAATGCACCCTGTGCCTTGGCTGATGCCCAGCAGCAGTTCACAGTACTTTTTGTTTATATATGCAACTGTCAGTACGTTCTCAAAGTGATAACAGAACATGAGGACACTGCTTCCTTGTAGAAGCACGCTATTCCTGAAGTTTATTCTTCAAAAATCATGGGGCAAACACAGCTTAATCAGCAGAGGACCTGGAAGCAGCTTTCAAAATCAGCATGCACCATCCCATCCCAAATGGAGTTGGCTGGAAAGCACACCTGGCAAAACAAGATTTTTCACTATCCCATGTGTGCAAAATATGAGCAGGTGTAGAGGAAGCAAAGCTGTACCACCTCAAAAGCAAACATCATTCAGAGAAACATGGTGTCTCTACAGCCCTTACTCTTAAAGGAAATGCAAAAAATACAAGTATGTCACATGAAAATCAAAATCTTATTCATAATATGTACTGAAGGGCCAGTCTCTTTCTGTACAGAGAGCGCTGTCAGTACATAAAAGGGATCATTTACATCCCAAAATAGTTGAGTGCTTCAGTACGTGTTCCTGTGTTTTACAGAGCATAAATCTCTATGAAGATTTTTTTTTTCTAGAGGAACTAAGTTTTATGGCCAGGATAGGCTGGAATAAAAGCCAAGTCTACTAAGTCATACTTAGCCTATCCACCACTTAAACTTAGATTAAGCTTTTAGCTCCATTATGACTTTCCAGTCTTGAATGCACAGGTCCAAAATCACCCTAAACATCTGTAGCAAGAACTAGGCTTTGCAGGAACCACAAAAAAAGAAACCAGAAGCCAGAACAGGTAAGTGCTGAAGATTTAACAAAAAAGTTGGTTAATCCAGGACGTCTTTCAAAGACCTACTTACTCCTTAGTGTGGTGATGCATATTTTATAAAGTTGTATGAATTCACGTAAGTCTTGCGGTGCTTTACAAGGCATCAGCTACATCTTGGATTCTGTAAAATAAACAGAGTCAGATTCCTTGCCACCTCGCACAGCCTGAGTAAAATGTGGTATCAAGAAATAGGGAGAGTTTAGGGGTTAACAAATACACATCGTTAATCTTATTATTTAGCACAGTAAGTCTAAATGACTTCCTACTGAGAACTTCATATTACAAAATGTCTTATATCTCACAAAGAGGGGGAGAAGCCGGCAGGAAGGCAGTTTGAGCTTGCAGCCCCCTCCAAACCAGCTTACTCATCCTTCCCCGAGTGCAGTGTTACGTAACTCGTGCTGTTGCTGCAGCAACTTTCCCCAGCCTCTCAACAATCACATAAAGGTGTTGCCTTAATATAGACAGGCAGTTTCACCCTCTTTTTACATGAAGGATAAAGTCAGTGAAAAAATAAAGGCATTTTAAAGGGTGATACTTAATTACTTAAACTACTTGTTTTAGAATCATTGGTAAATATTAATGTATATAATAAAACATGCAACGAAACAAAGGTGCATTTCGTGTCCCCTCGCTTGTTCAGAACCTGGTTTGCTTCCCCTGTGCAGCAGAGTTGTCAGAATTGGCATATTGCATTTGTAGCCCTCCTGCCTGGGAAGCCTTCCAAAGCTTAGCTGGAAATCACCGTGTCTCAAATTTTAAAAGGCAAAATCTGTGGTTGGCCTCACTATTTACCGGCTGCACTATCATCTTTTAATCCATGCTGATCATCTTGGACTCCATGCTACCTACATTTGATACAGACCAAAAAGACTCTCTATTATAATAAAGAATACAGTCATGATGAGGGCCTACTTAGCTGCTTTTTGGTGATAATTTTTTTAAAAAATATCGCTATATATTTACATGAAATTATAGAAATATACAGGACATATATTGAAAGTGAGGCCAGGGGTTATATAAGATCCACATGAAAAGGACCCTTGCTCTGACTGACGTTGAGTGCACTCACCCTGGAGTGTCACCCCTGGCAAGAATGACTTGCCAAAGGCCTCAGGTTTTTAGCCTTTCCAATACACATTTTTCTAATGGTAAGATTCAAACTAATTTTACCGGGTTGCCCAAGCTGTATGGGCAGGAAAATAAATATTTGAATTAAAATAAAAACAGTTTAACAAGCAACTCAGCTATTAATTATATCCAAGAGGTATTGCTTTACAAATATGTACCAAGCAAACTATTAGAAGTATCTAACTATAGGCAATATTTGCATAACAGGAAATAGTTTTAATTTACGAGATCACAAAGCATTAGTGGATCACAAGTCAGTAATTCTACTACCTGAAAAGAGAGCTCAAAGGACTTAAAAATATCTCTGACTTTGAAAAGGATTATTTACCTATTAATTCAGCATACGACAATGTATTAATTTGATCACAAAAAATCAGCCCGTAAGTTCTCAAAAGAAGTGACTTTATGCCTTTTTCTTTTACAATTGCCAATTACTATATATCGATACTTACAGTATATATGCACTATATTAGAGTATATTACAGTACTATAGTGCCTGGGTGCCTATTGAAGTGAGGTAAGTCATTCTGCTCACATATTTTCCTGCCTTGTCTAGTAAGGCTGTAGGCTACCTAGGGATTGCCTCTTCCTTGGTACCTCTGAAGTACCTTGCACATGGGTTCTTCCAAGCAAATAGGGTAACATGAACGTATTGTAACATGAATGATTACCCTAGAATCTCGGTCTATTACAACGTGGCCAGGGAAGAAACCCCCAGGGACTGCGTGGACCGCATCGGTGCTTCCTCCCCAGGGGAAGCTGCCAGCAGCTCCCAAGGGAAGTTACAAAAAGCAAGCAAGCAAACATCAATAAAAAGCACTTCACTCAGGTGTGTGCTGAAGAAGTTCCTTCTAGGCTGTACCCTCTTGGCTACCTCTGGCCCAGAGAGAGAATTGCCTTCATTTGCTTCCACTAATCCCTCACTAAGTGCTCCCAGATGGCAGCACATGACTTTTCCTTCTGCTGAGGCTTCCCAGATGTGAGATATAACAGCATTCAAGGCTGATCTTTTATTCAGCATCTGCACAGAGGCTGTGAGAACGATCACAATGCACGACATGCACTGCACTGTTATTAATATCAGTGCTACTTTTTCCTTCCTTTCAACCTGGGAATTACAACTGCCCTCTGCTCTTCCTAATATTGAAGCCATCCTGCGCCACAGATGAAAACCAGCCTGATGGAGCTCACGTCCAAAATTTCAAACGCGACATGAACTAGGGGAGGAAACATTTGCAGGAGCCAATCATAGAATCACAGAATGCTGAAGGTTGGCAGGGATCTCTTGAGGTCATCTAGTCCAACCCCCTGCACACGCAGGGTCACCTAGAGCACGTGGCACAGGACTGCGTCCAAGCGGGTTTGAAGATCTCCAGAGAAGGAGACTCCACAACCTCTCTGGGCAGCCTGTTCCAG